AAAATCTATTCCATATATCAAAAATTCAACAGACACAATGTTAGTATTACCTCTTCTCTTCATTCTGTGAAAATTTCATGAAAATTGGATGAACAATGGTGGAGTTATTCAAAAACGTATAGAGAAAAGTCACGTTTTGAGTTTACAGAAAAATAAAATACTGACTTTATGAGGAAATGGCGGTTACAAACATGCCCAGTATGGGAAAAAATACGGTTTTTGGGGGTTCTTATGCGATGAAATAGTTGTAGGAAAAGCTGAGAAAGCGAGAAAAAAAATGCCTACAACTCAAATTCCATGATTTTGAGCCGAATTTTGACTTTGGGGGTGTACCCCCCCCCCCCCCTTTAAGAGTTTGAAAGTAGTGTACTATTATGCCATTAAGAAAATTAAATGTACCCAAAACTGGTTTTCCATTCTGATTTCATCAAGGAATTTGTTTGTTAGGCTTGCTTGTCGCCAACTGTAAAAAGCAAAAGGTATGGTTTTCCTTGCATTGACGTCATACGTTTTTGATGACATGCAGTACAGACTTACTTGATGGCTTAAGGTAATTTACTTGATTATATTATTAACTTTTCCTGATAGGAGGTGGAAAGCCTGCTTGAGCCCCACCGTATGATGGAACTTGTTGTTCGTCTGGGGGAGATCTGTTGTCATCTTTGTCAACACGCGAAAAGGCCAGTACTGCACTCCGGAGTCGGGGCTGGTGGTTCACTGTTACTTTCGACAGGACATCTATATCGTTTATTCTTTAACTTAGCAATGATTTCGTTTTTCATTGCTACTAATACTACTAGACTAGAAGGGGACTTTGGTTGTCACAATTTCTTTCATCGGCTTCTTAGTACTCTAAGTAGGTAAAGTTTGTGTGATGAGCCCCAGTCGCATAGCCACTTTATGTATCAGCCTAGAATCAACTTTTTCAACGATGAGAACAGCAGGTTTTTCCATTATCAATTTCTTGGGGGAAAGTGAAGAATATTTTTATCCTGCCAATCCTTACAGTCCAGAAGCTGATATAGGCATCCCTTTTGAGAAGAGTATTTGTCAAATTTCTGCTCCTTGACACCGTCCATGCTTATGTCCAGGTTAATCACTGTACTCATCCTTTCTCCACTTACTTAATAAATCAGTATTAAGCTGAAGCATAATAAGTTGATTTTTTTAGTACGGGCAGGGGCGAAGGCTGACTTGTTTGACAGGGTAATCAAAGTGAAACGGGACCAGATATAGATCTATATGGCCTGTATATATCACATAAGAATCTTACTCGAGGCGGCGACTCTGACTGAGTTGTAAATGAAAACAAATCCGGAATTCATATTGTATGTTCAACCGCCAAAATAATCGGGAAAGTATCTTATTAAATATCAGTTCCAACTAAAATTAAATTAACTTTAGATGTGAATACATAAACACAAAGCAAAGAAGCAGAGATGGCAGTACTAGATCTATATGTTATAGATCTACCACAGAGTCTAACTCTTTGGTAGAACATGGCAATTATCATTTTTTAAATTTCACATTTGGCTGTTTTTGTTAGCCTTTCGCGGCCAGGAGCTGGTGTCATAATCGAGGTCTCGATCTGATTATAGGACAGTAAAAAGTCGAGGAAAAAAAACAAGCACATGCAGCAGTAAAGAGATTGTTAGGAGTTAGTTCCCCTGACATTTGTGAGGTAGACTCGACCAGTGTTCGTTAGCTTACTTAATCAGGGCTTGTGATTGGTTTTAACTGTGGCCCTAAAGGGGTGAACAGGGTATATGTGGCAATGAAACAGCCATGACTGCTATGCACATGTACCCTCAACTGTATTGGTAGACTCTTTCAGCCTCACTTTAAGCTTACTTAATCAAAGCTTGCGACTGATTATGGAGTGGCCCGAGAGGGGTGAGGAGGCTATTTATGTGGCCGTGAAACCGTTTTGAAAGTTAGGCATGCTCATTGTGGATTACGAACCTCTTTTTACTTTTAATTTAAGAGGTTTACGTTTAAGAATGAATTTGACAGCGACAATGTTTCAAAATTAGGAAGGGAAGCAGTGATTATTTGATTATATAGACGCTTCGCCCCTGAGCACGCGTATATAGTTACGTTTCTTGAGTCCTGGGGCCATTTGTTCACTTCTTCAAGCTCTTCAATGCCAGGCAGCAAAGCTAATTAATTATGTTTCTTTCCTGTACCACTGGGGGCTCCAGTGGCTAAGTGAGTAGTGAGTTTAGACTCAAGAAATGTCAAGCAAGTGTCGGTGACACAGGGATCAGATGGGTGGTCACTGGAGTGTGTCCTTGAGCAAGACACGACAACCCTAGCTCAAAAATATAGGGCGCTGCACAGTGGCGACCGACAGTGGCATTGTTTGTAAACTGTTCTATATTTGTGTAATAGTGTGTATTTATGTATGTATGTATTTATGCATGTATGTATTTATGTATGTACGTATTTATAATTATGTATTTATGTATGT